TTTGACGACGAAGATGCCAAAATGGTCCGACAATCTATCTTGTGGAGCAAAGAAGGCACTTCGCCGTGGGCTGAGGGTAGCTCCTCTGGTGGAACACCCTTGATTGATAAGGGCAAAGCACCCAATTACTCTGGCCAAGCGAACCCAGAACCTGATAATATGTTCCAATACCGCCGTTCGCCCGCTCCGGCCGACAGATTGGACCCCTCCATTGCGGATCACGCGCGGTTGGCTGTACAGTACGCGGATAGTCTTCCCAAGTCAACTTCTCCGGGTAACAAGGTGATGACACCATCTCAGTTCGAGCACTATCGCCAGCAACAAGAACTTCGACGCTCCAATAGTGATGCGACTAAGAGCGATGAAGAGTCTGATCATGAGGAGTTTGACGATGAAGAAGATGAGGTGGAGAAGCAACGTGAGACGGAACGTCAGCGACGAAAGCAGGAGGCTCATCTCTCTGTGTATCGCCAGCAGATGATGAAGATCACAGGTCAGCAAGCACCCGTGCAATCGCTACGTCCGGTCATGAGTGGAGCTAGCAACAGCACGCCCAATTTGCACCCCAGCCGCCTGTCTGTACTAGGCGAGAAGTCCACCAGTGGAAAGAGCAGCGAGGAAGAGGATGACGATGTGCCGCTTGGTATTCTGGCCGCGCACGGTTTCCCTGGTCAGAACCGCCCACCAACCCGGCTGAACAATGTCAGTTCCAATCCCAACCTTCGTGCATCCATGCAACCGCCGTATATATCATCTTCCAGCTCTGTTTCGGGTGCCGACCCCAACGGCAGCCGTGGCGGTCTGCCACCTTTTGCAAGGAACTTGCCGCGAGATCCTTACTTCGGTGCAGGTCTGGTTAACAACGCCAACCGTGAATCGTTGGCGTTCGGAGGTGGTTCAGTATATGGAGGATCTTCTTCGTCCCCAGCACCTCCCCCTGGAGGTCTTGTCGGTGTCATAGCAAACGAGGAGCGGGCACGGGCGATGCGTAGAGGAAGCCCGAATACACAAGCCATGCACGAAATGGGAGGAGTGCCTCGACCATACTCGATGATGCCGCCGCCGCAGCAGAACGTTACCGCCGGGGAACAAGCTTCTATCCAGCTATCGCAGCAGATGGCCACCATGATGCAGATGCAAATGCAGTGGATGCAGCAAATGATGCAAATGCAAGGTGGGCAGGGTCAACCTATGATGCAAGGCATGCTAATGCCTCCTGTGACGATGCCTGGAGGAGCAATGGCCATGCCTCCCATGGGCCCTCCTTATATCACAGGACCCCAATCCATGGCTGGCAATCTGAACTTGCGGCCAATGTCGATGCCTGCAGCATCCGTTCTCAATATGCCACCCTCGCTTCCACCCCACATCGACCAGCGTACGATGAGCATGCTGGATCCCAACATTTCAACCCGTAGGACTGGCTCGCCCATGCCAAATCTCTCCGACAACGCGTTCCGCCCCAGCACCGGATATGCGGCTTCAATCGCTCCGTCCGAGCGCAGCACTGCGGGCATGGCGCCTCGTTACCGGCCAGTCTCAGTCATGCAGCCCGAATCGAATTACGCAGTGGCATCCTCAACAAACAAGCCCTACGGTGACGAAAACCACAACCCGGCCATGCCGATGTCTCAGACTCACATTCCGAAATCGCATCTCGCTACTGTGACCGTCCGCCCCGTTTCGCGGAGCACCGGCGCTGAAAATCGAAAGCCGGGTTCTGAAGATGAAGAGGACGACGACAAGGCCTGGGCTGACATGGCGAAGAAACGTGACAAGAAGAAGAGCAGCTGGAAAATGAAGCGAGGGACGTCTTCGTTTGGGGATCTGTTGAGCGCTGTCCACTAAGTCCCTTATTCTGTCTCCCGTCCTTTCTTTCTTTTTTTCATCCTTCCTCAACTCGACCATGAAAGCGTGCTCGCATTGCATCTGAAAAGAAATCTGTCCGCGTTACGCTGTATAGCCTGCCTCTTTCTTTGCATTTCCATTTCCATTTCCGCTTCCGTCTCCTAATATCCCCGCTCCCTCAACGACATGACATATGACGCACATACCACCAACTCAGAGAAGGGCTTGCCGTGCCATTTGGATATGTCGGCTCGATAATGCATACCTAGCCCTCATCTCGCATCTTGTATGTCTCTCCTCGTTCCATGTCCCGGATTTTCTTATATCATCGTCTCATGGTCATTCCGGTCTGGGCAGAGGGTTCGACATCTACAAGTATGAATACATATGCTTTGTGCTTTTAGTCTATTTTTGATTTTGAGTTCGGTGCTCCTTGTTCCTTTTCCTTTTTGCTTTCTTATGATATCGGCGCGGGAAGAGACGTGGCGTTATTTATCTGATAGGCTTCTATCTCTGTTCTTTTTTCCATCTTTTATTGTGTCTGTTTTGCATTGTCTTCTCGCCAGAGCGCTCTGCGTCTACTCGACTCCCTTAATACATTTCGGGCCTTGTGGCCGTTATATCTGCTCTTTTCAATGTTCTTTCTTTCTTCTTTTTAGGTCTCCTGTTTGTTGCTTCAGGGTTCGCATATCTTACCATAGCGTAGATCTGGGTTGAGATGGGGTTCATTCTCCATACACGACCGCTAATATATGTCATCTCATATCAAGGTCGATTGCGTGCGTATAACTTAGAAAGCTACGTGGTGCGAGCGGTGTGCAATCATAAATTCGGCTTAGTTTAGTAGGTTGACTATCTCGGGCTTCCTAGGCATATTGTAATCCAGTTGACGAAAGAGTGTTGAAAGTATGTATGAGTTGCATGATCAATTTCAGTAAACAAAGACAATATTTGATGTCACAGGAGTCGAGATACTAAATGGACAGACGTTGATTTCGAAGAACTAGCACAGTCTTATCTTGAAGTGATAGTAAAAGACGTATAAGGTCACGTGATAGCATACATCGGGGGTCACATGATCTATATCGATATCGATATCGATATGTACCACGATATCTTCATCATTCAACGTCAACACCGAGCAAACCAACAGGTGCGAAGTCAGGGCCCAAATAACGACCTAAAGCATAACCCCTTACTGGCTCCCTTTGTCTGAAGTTATTTACTATCGATAAGCAACCTCAAAAGCGTATTGAAGGCCCTCACGTTTCGATCGCTGGTTGTCTTTACAAGTCAAACCGCAGTGGACTGGTCACCTATAAATAGGCGTGAAACTACGTCGAGCTTTCCACTCCTCGTTG